TGACTGTTATTAAATTATAAATTAAATGTATGGAATTAACATGCACGATGGAAGTTGTAGATACACGCCAGTGGTTATAAACACTTGACACTTGACAGCTAGTGCAGTGTATATTTCGAGTGTGTTTCAATTAAGACATCAGGCTGCTGGAGCATGGGGTAGTGGATTAAGAGATTAATGTATTAATCAATATGAAGTTGTCATGCATGATATTAACTTTGGAGGAGAGGTGGCAGTGCTTACCATACCGCGCTATGAAATCGGCGGCCTGAGTTTGATGCCTGGCTAAGGTTAACAATGGCGAGTGATATCTCAGTGAAAAAGACTTAAATGTCTGAATGAATTTCTATTCTCATTGTTGATTGATAAAAAGTTTACGTGCATGAAAATCACGAGCAGCAACTGTGAGAAAGGGGTAAGGCAACATATAGGTAGTCCTGTATTAACTTATAATGTAGGTTTTCATAGCCAAGACAATGATCCATGTATTTTGGGGTTAAGCCACATGGTAATTTAATGACAAAATGACAATTACAGGAATTTTGGCATCAAACTAGTCCTGTATTATATTAACCTCTCAAAATCAAAGTTAAGTTACTTAAAATGAGGAAATGATCATGTCATTGGTTTGTGGTCAAGCAGGAAACACACGGAGATTTTGTAACAAAGCCTTCAACCCTAGCAGTGTTGGGGAACTCCTTTTATCCGATACACGATGACCCACGACTCATCTTAGCCACGCGATCTAACCTAAAACACCTGTAATTATGGATGTGTCTTTAAACCCCCCACCAACCGACACTGCCAATTAGTAAGGTTTGTCACGTAAACAAAACATGGCAACTCGTAACTAGTTCAGCACACCGTTGTGTTGGAGAGTAACTCGAATTGTAAATGTTGTGGGTTTCCTCTCCAACACACCGGTGTGCTGATCTAGTAACGAATTGCCATGTTTTGTTTACGTGAGAACTTACTAATTGGCTGTGTCGGGTGGTGGCAGGTTTAACGACACTTATATTTTTGCGATCTAACCCAAAAAACATTTATTATGGATTCCAAGTACAGTCCTGAATATACAACTTGGGCAAGTGCCCTTAGCTGTGAAGGCCGGTACGGCACACAAAGCGTGAGTGGTCAACACCACACCCGGCCACTCATGTCTCCCTAGTGCTGATGTTTTACACATCACACTAGGTATTCATTCAGGGCTGAGTCAACCTAGGGGAGCGCCCAGGACCGGTTCAAATATTCTCTACTGATGTTGGCCACGAGCACGAATCGAACTTGGATCGCCGGGTTCCTAACGTAGTGACGCTATCCACAAAGTGACATCACACAAACGCGCGCACACACCCCCACACACTTAAGCATTCAGTTTCACTCATTATTTCCACTAACACATTCCTGCGGAGGGGGCTGGTAGGAACGTTGGTTGCTCGGTCAGTGGCCAGGGTCAACGGCGGCGTGGTGTATTCCGCAAATATGCTCGACTGTGAGGGCAGGCACAAGCTGGCGTGAGTAGGTTAAACGTTGAGTTGTATAAGGGCACCACGGGGTGACCAGCCCCTCCCCACCCAGCCCCACCCCACCCAGCCCCACCCCTCCCACCCCCCACCCTCCCCACCCAGCCCCTCCCCACCCTCCCCTCCCTACCCTCCCCTCTACACCCAGCCCCACCCCTCCCATTTTTTATATCCGAATGTCCGGATACACGTGGACAGACATCCACAGACATACACAATGAATCCCCTGCCTCCTGTGAGAATTAATCCCGGTTGGGCTTCCAGTCCACTACGTTTCCTACCAGTAATGCCCACTAGGAGCGCATTTGTTATATATCCGGGTGTCCGGATACACGTGGACAGACATCCACAGACATACACAATTAATCCCCTGCCTCCTGTGAGAGTTAACCCCGGTTGAGCTTCCAGTCCACTACGTTTCCTACCAGTAATGCCCACTAGGAGCGCATTTGTTATATATCTGGGTGTCCGGATACACGTGGACAGACATCCACAGACATACACAATTAATCCCCTGCCTCCTGTGAGAATTAACCCCGGTTGGGCTTCCAGTCCACTATGTTTCCTACCAGTAATGCCCACTACGAGCGCATTTGTTATATATCCGGGTGTCCGGATACACGTGGACAGACATCCACAGACATACACAATTAATCCCCTGCCTCCTGTGAGAGTTAACCCCGGTTGGGCTTCCAGTCCACTACGTTTCCTACCAGTAATGCCCACTAGGAGCGCATTTGTTATATATCTGGGTGTCCGGATACACGTGGACAGACATCCACAGACATACACAATTAATCCCCTGCCTCCTGTGAGAATTAACCCCGGTTGGGCTTCCAGTCCACTATGTTTCCTACCAGTAATGCCCACTACGAGCGCATTTGTTATATATCCGGGTGTCCGGATACACGTGGACAGACATCCACAGACATACACAATTAATCCCCTGCCTCCTGTGAATTAATCCCGGTTGGGCTTCCAGTCCATATAAGGGCACCACGGGGTGACCAGGCCCTCCCCACCCAGCCCCACCCCACCCCTCCCACCCCCCACCCTCCCCACCCACCCCCTCCCCACCCTCCCCACCCAGCCCCTCCCCACCCAGCCCCTCCCCACCCAGCCCCTCCCTACCCTCCCCTCTCCACCCAGCCCCACCCCTACCACGTGGACAGACATACACAATTAATCCCCTGCCTCCTGTGAATTAATCCCGGTTGGGCTTCCAGTCCACTACGTTTCCTACCAGTATAAATGCACATATAAAAACCACACATACCAAATTACCTAAAAACAAAGACCTCTTATATAGCTTGGTTAGTGCCATTAGTGAGCACCTATTTATTGCACGCATCTATACTCATGTGCACACAGCTTGAATTAATTTGGCTATAAAAGCAAGCAGAGATATACTTGCTTTCCCATTGTGGGTCTTGATATCCTGATCCCCATAAGTTGTCTGGACAAAGAATTCAGACACCCTCCAAACCATTTCCATGCATTTACAAAACAAGCTTTTAAACGCTTGTAATTTTACTCTATAAAATAAACTTTTATTTTGGCAGGTAAGGCCCACTGAGCTACATAGCTCTTTTTCAGAAGCCACCATGGCCATAAATGATAGCTCAACGAAGTGGCTTACGTGGAAATTTATAGCAGCCAAATACTCAAAACGCATGTTACTAATTTTGGAGCGAAAAATCGGGGGACCCGAAGAAAAATCCACACGACCACGGGGAGAACATCCAAACTCCAAATATACAGGTGTCAGGGTCGTGATTCAATGCACGCTCTCCTCCATACCAGGCGAGGAAGATCACATCTCGCCAGCGCGAGTTACCGTATTTTTTACCGTATTTTCACGCATATAACCTGAGGGGTATACCACTTTTTACAAACAAAACAAGACCCTGCGGGGTATATGGAGGTGCGGGCTATCCCAAAAATATTTTATACGTGACATGTCATAACTCGTTTAATTTTTTAATGGTAGGACTATCCACTATGCAACACTTACCTTTGACTAAAGCACTGCTGAATAAACCACGAACACTAAAATTGCACATGTTATCACGTTTTAAATTATTCGAATTGTTTATACAATGAAACAACAATGTTTGAAGTGGGCGCACTTTGTTTACTGTAATACTTTCCAGTGGCTGTAGGGGGGTGCGAAAGTTTCAGCTGAGGCTATGGATTGCACAATGGGAAGGGCCTTAAGCGTCTACCAGACGCGGAATCATAATTGCCGAGTCCCTTAGGCTGCTGCTATTGGCTGAGCACTATACAGTCGCGACCATGAGCTTTGTTTCAAATTTCCAATGGCTTTGTTACCAGGAGGCAATGGCGTTACTGTAGTGCCGCTATTGTCTGCGCAGTGCACAATCTACCAGTGCTAAAACTGTACAGGGGTAACTACCCGTCCAGTAGCTGTAATATGATGTCGAATGCTGGTAAGCCTAACAGTACGCTTACTTACGGTGCTTATCTACCAGTTATGTGTTACTTATTTATTGGATATTTACTTTTGTTACTTATTTACTGTTGTAAGTTCACTCGTTTACAGTTAGCTTGTTTTCTTTGTGCACGTTATGATTTTAATGTTAACAATTGATAGTGGAATGTATTACAAATATAAACTTTGTATTAATATTACGGAATTAAGCTGCGGTAACGACGTTAGAGATATGAATGCATGCGGGGTATATGGAGGTGCGGGCTATCTGAAATTTGTTTTACACAAAACGCTATTTTTGCGGGGTATATGCATCTGCGGGTTATATGCGTATGCGGGCTATATGCGGGAAAATAGGGTATATTCGTTGACTGCTAACGGCACTGACACATTTCGCATGTATTGTATACACTTACACATTCAAGCAAATGAATACACACCCCAACAAAAGCATCCGCACGTTAAAACACACACACATTCAAGTACTCGCTCGTATACGCATGCAATTCAGATATAGAAGAGACAACGTTATAAAAATCCTCCATTAAGTGACAAAAACTGTTTTGGGAAAATGTAATTACCCAACATCTATTTACTGGCAATGCATGCACAGCCAGTATCGCTACCGTAGCCCTACAGACTGCCAGGGATAGTGCTCTTAGCAACGTCCGGCCCGCGGGCCGTATAAGGCACGCGATATCATTTGGTGTGGCCCTGCCAAGGCAATCGCTGGCGAGACTCGAAATTCAATAACTCTAGGAGCAAATCTGGAAAAGCAGTTGCGAGTAGCAACATCATCAATACCAGCTAACATCACACGCCTCATGAAAGAGAAGCAGTTCCAGCCATCACAGAAAAAAGGTTCCCCACCCCTGCTATAAAGTGTGGCACACCCCACAAAGGGTTGGCGTGGCTAGGCACCGCTCCGAGCTGCTTGTCTTTCCACTGCTGACATTTGCATGTGATATCGGCTCTAAAATGTGTTGCAGGTTGTGCCCGTGGTGTTTGTTCGGCAGTCTCCAATGTTTTGCTCCATGTGCGCTGGGAGCTTCTTCGAGGAACTAAACTGGAACGTTTGGCGTTGTGCTATACAGCCCGCAGTAACCATCGCAAAAGCTCATCGGAGAGTTATGCAGAACAACCGCGAAAGTCTACGAAGTGGCGCACTGGCGACTGGTTTCGTCTGCATCTAGGGGAGATCAGCTCGACATTTGCATCTCTGTTGCTACTGATGTTGTGAGTGGACAAGAATGGAACCGGAGCAGTCAGGAGTGCGATACGGTGCACCAAGCACATTACGAATACATCCCACGCACAGAGACAAATATCCTAAATCCAATTTGATAGACTGAAGACAAATGCTTCTAAGAGCGCACCTATTACGTTTAGCGGGTCATGTAGCCTGCACCAACATCTGGCCAGTCTTTATCTTCATACCTGGCACAGGCATATTTAAGGCTAAGTCAACCTAGGGGAGGCCCAAAAAAGGTTCGGATACCGTTTAACTACTGACGTTATGTGGCAGGGAATCAAACCCAGGTTTCCCGGATAGTAGTATCGTGCACAAGCAACTGTTTCACCACTTCCAACAAAAAGACAAGGATCCTCAATGTAGCCTACAGAGGCTAGTAGAGCAGGTTATTTTAGGGAACACCTATTAAATGTGGCATGGCACACAAAAAAGGATAGCGTGGTTCGCACCAGGCCCAAGCCATCTGTCTCATCACTGCTGATGTTTTCACACTGCAGCAGGTACTCGTTTAAGGCTGCGTCGACCTTGAGGAGGCCCAGAACGAGTTTAGAAAATCACCATTAATGGTTGGCCGTGTGCCAGGAATTGAACTCGAGGGGGCCATCGGGTTTGCGGCACAGCGCCACTAACCACTGCGCCACCGCTCCCGACACGCACACGTACAGACACACGCTTTTCTTGCGGCCTGCTGTGAGCCATGGAGCTGTGTAAGATTCATTGCCAGACAGTCGTGTTGGGAGCTATGGTGCGACGGTGACAGGCAGACGTGAGGGGAGGCTCAGATGCCTCATTACGTGGCCGCAATGGCTGCCAGGCAGTGGTACTGCTCCATGCCTCTCGTTTTGTTCCCTCTCCCTTGCACTGATTTTTTTGCACCTCACATTTGTACACCAAGACAGAGAGAATCACTGTTACATAACGATGAAGCCAGTTTTAACCCACAATACTTGTATACAGAAATGTAAATTTTCCAATTTATCACCGTCAATTAATGCCACAACAAAGCCTCGATTTGGCCGACTAAATTTCAGCACTCATTATTTTCACTCAAATGAATTACCCACATGCCCTTTAAAACGCATGACAACATTTTGTGTGGATAACATTTGTTAAAATTGCTCACTGTGCGCGGTGGACATTTTGAGCGTGTTAATTCGTAATGGCACTGCTATTACAGCATTGTTATTTTTCATTACTTGTACCCACCAGACAGTATTTGCGGAACACAGTCGCATTCATCTGCACGCAACAGTCTTCATCTCACGGGCGCAATCCAACGTATTTTAATTTAGCCACGAACAATGCCGCTTCATTTCAAATAGGCATACGTACAGTATTCATAAAGGTGCCATGATACGTGTACGTTCAGCATTAACCGAGATATTTACTTTACTCCCTTATTAAAAAAAAAAACTCTCAAATTTCGGTGACCGTGTCACTTTAGCTTCTTCCCCACACCGTTCACGTCCCGCTAGTTGGCACGTAGCGTGCATGTTCATTCAGTCAAGAAGGATGGGGGCTTCATTGTGAGCGCCGCAGACGGAATTAATGAACCATTAATCCGACCGATTCATCAGGCTGATGACCTGATGGGGTTAATTAAAGAAAGACAATTATTTCTGTTAGGCACACAACAGCGTCCGCTTTTTTTGTCGTGTTTGTGTTCTCGGGCTGGTTTTACTGCCCACACAAAACGCTCCATTGCAGATACAGCAATATCACTTCCCCCGAAAGGTTGCATGAAAAAAAAAAGCATTTCAACTTTGTTCAGACAAGGTGAAATATGGAAATCTCTACAACGTGCCGTTTAAAACATTCATAAGGCGCGGTATGGCTGTGTAGCATGTTTATACAGTGTCTGAATTAATGAGAAATGGCCAGAGTGCTCAGAGGCATGCACAGATTGTATGATGAGATCGAGAGATCTTAAAACCGCTCACAACTGCTAATGTATTTCCTGCCCAAGCACAACGCATAAATGGCGCCTGCACTGTAACGCTGACGTGCAATGGGCGCGTTATAGTCTGGACACAACGGTGCGTTTGTAATTCGTACGACGGTTGTAGTCGCTCGCTTTCACCTGGCAGCAATGCTACAGCGACTGCTACTAAGAATCTGCACATTCACTTAATTCAACATATTTGCGCACGCAAATGCAAGTAAATTCGTTAGGTCATGCGTAGATAGGAAAATAAAACTGTGTATTAAAAAATGTGTTCAATTGACAATTATTTTTCTGCAAAGTGCAACGAAAGAGCTGACAATTCATGGCTAGAGACCTTACTAAGGATAAAAAATAGTCTACTTGGAACAAACACAGAATCCTCGAGCAAAAAGTGTCCTGTTAATATTCACATCCTACATGTCTCATGAACGCTGCGCATCCTGCATCACCTACATTATACACACCATGCAAACTCGCAGCCAGACTTAATTAATCTGTCTTATGCAGATGTAAGAACACAACTGTAAATGCTCTGGCACACACTGTCTCACTTAAGTCCTAGTTAAAACGTGACAGCATAAATGTACGCACTGATTTTTACACGGACAAGTAAAATCACGCATATATACCAGTTAAAGGCGTTTGTAATACATGAAGTAATAGACAGCCAGCCAGACGTCGCCTGAATAATAATGAACGTATCAGCAAGGTAAAACAAATAATAATGTATTATATTTGATGTATCATATTTGATGTATTTCTACCTTCTCATCTCTATTTCAACGTACTACATGACAGGTCTTGGGGCCACTAAATAAATGAAAGACAAATAACTGACAACACAGTCTTTTTATTCTCATTCACTTGGATTATATTGTCCCTTTTTAGGTAAACTATTGACATCGTGAATCTAAATCTCCTTGCAAAAACCCCCAAAAAAGTGCGCACAGCATGGAAAACAAATCCTCCATTTACGAGCATTTAGGCCAAATCGGCATCGCAAAGACCTACAAGTGCAACACAGGAACACAACACCTTGAGCGTGAAATGTTTTAAAGTGCTATCGTGGCCACGCATGCGCACAGCTAAAGCCGTTGCCTGATTTTTTTTTTTACACGTTGCCCTGACATTTCAGCAGAGCACCCACCGAGGGCGGTTACGCAGCGCGCACGATCGCAGGCGCAATGCGGCAAATCGCAAAAAAAATTAGGACGGGTGAGAGTGCGGAAAAGAGAAGACGGAAAGAATCCCTCCCGGAGACTTAAACGGCCCCGCTTTCGTAATTCTACATCGGAGCACAGCGCGCGCGACCAAAATATAAAGGAAAGCATTCAAACACCTGGATTTCCCATTCTCTCGCTCACTTTTACACAGCGGGACGTCGGGTCCCCCGTGATCAACGCTGGGGAGCGGAGTGCTGCCTCTACCCGGACACCGAGCAGGCCGCGTTCACCAACCAGGCCTGCCGATACCAGCAGCCCTTAGCAGCAGCAGCAGAGGCTGAGCACTGTGGGTAGATTTGCCACCCCCCCCCCCCCCCGCTTAATTAGCTGTAATCCAATTTTCGATCGCTAATTCCTCCGTGATTTAATGTCTTCTCCTTTCATCCGCAAAATGTTGTGCAGCTGCTATAATTATTGCCTTCTAATAGTTGGAGAAGAGGCCCATTCCGGCACGCGCATATGCACGAACATCACGATATTTTCCAAACGGTGCACAAATACTCCCATACGTTGGCGTGGTCAACTCTGTAATCCTTCGGTCGCCTTGCCAGAAGTGTAGCCATGTTGGATCCACGCGGTGCGCACAGTTCCAATGGAGATTTTTATAAAAACGGTCGATATTGCGGTTGTATTCCCAAATAATTCCAGAGCTGCGGCTTCAAACCAACATCCGAGCGCTTTCTCTTTTCTACAGCTGGCGTGGATGCGCTGCCAACACGCTCTCCAATTGTTTTCTCCGCGAGGGCACCCAGCGCACAGAAAACGCGCCGCCCGCGCGCCCGCCCGCCCTTGCCCGCCATTACGGGTGGGCATTGCTTTTCCGCAGTTTTCCTTCGTTGTCTTTTCTGGGCGTATTCCATCTTCGTTTATGCCATCCACGGTGGGGCCGGTGCCATCTCCGCGAAGAAAATCTCACTTTTTTTTTACACCTCTTTTCGCTCGTGCCCAACCGCCGAACATTGTACCTACGCGGAGCGATCGTGACTGGTATCCGAAAGCGCGATCGCAATGGCGCTCGCCGCTGCCGCCGCCGCCGCCACCGCCGTCACCGTCACCGCCGTCGCTTGGCATGCCCCCGTGTCTTTGTCGGGGCGTCCCCGGCACCAGACAAAGACGGCGGGCGAGAACGATGCCAGGCTGTTGTCCGTGTCGCCAGTCCTGGGAGGGGTAAGGGGCGAGGGGGGGGGTTGGGGGTGGCGGCAATACAGTGGGCAGCGGCGAACCGGGCTGAAAAGAGACGCGCAAACAAGGCGAAGTGAGAAATCCGCCGCTCAACCGCGATCAGTTGTGAGCGCGGTGGCACAGGCTGGCACACCGCAGAGACGCCACCCTTTTATACCGCCCCGCCGCATCGCGCAACTGCGAATACAGGAAGAGGGTCCGCCCGACGCACCAGAAGGCTGCGGGCATCGCAAATCCAGATTCGCTCGGGGGGGCAGGATCGGTGCCAACGGGGGTTTTTTTCTTTATCGTTTGCCCCCCTCCCTCCGCTCTATCCCGGAGCGCCAAATGGCACTGCCAGCCGCTTTACGCGCCTCCACCTGGCGGGCGCAAAACAAAAAAAGCAAAACGGCGCGACGCTCTAAACAAGGTTCGTTACGCAAACGAAGCAACTCGGAAGCGGGCGCGGGAAGGCTGCGTTTTTCACAGCGCGGGCCGGCAACGGCGGTCTCGCGTGCCCGCGTACGTGGCGCTTTCCTACAGTGTAGCGATTTCGCCAAAGCAAGCGGGCGGGCGCTGTGACACTCGGCGGCGAGCCAGTGACAGCTGTTCCTGGCCCCGGCGCGCAAGAATCCAAGGCGAGCCGAGCGAAAAAGAAAGAGACGCCCCAAGCCATTCCTGCTTCTTTCTGTCGTCGCCCTCCCTCTCGCCGTTTCGGATGGCACGGTGCCAGCGTGTGCCCCCTCTGCTCCCGGCCTGCTGCACTGACTGCTAATTAACAAGCAAGCTAATTGTTCTCCCAGGCGCCGTGAGCAGGAGCACGTTGGCCGATGTTCCCAGAGGGTACGGAGCGCATTCGCGGCGGCAGGCAACGAGAGAATCCTTGGCAGTGAGTTTTTTAAAAGAGCAGGCTGCAGTGATAGAGTCTCACATATACATGGAACGCACATGCATACGCACGCGCACACGCACGCCCGCTTTTCGGCCTCGTGACCGACTCTGACGTCATTCTCATATTTCTTTTTTTTTGTTGCAAATAATCAATGAATTTTTTTATACGCTAAATTGTTTGCAACGTTGTCTCCGAACTCGGGACGTCAAACGAACGAAATCGGTCGCTAATTATGCAACGGGCTGTAATGGAATGTTTGCATGGCTTCAAGCGCGGCTATTTATTTCGTATCGGGGAAAACGGTACATCCAAGCTCGCCGCGAAAGAAAGGCAGGTCGTCTATTTTGTGGCCGAAAACGGCCAAGCGAAATGCAATGGGCGCGATGCCATATAAGCATTTGAAAAGTTTTTCTCCGTCAATGTGCTTAATTAAATTAGTTTACATTTCGAGGTGTGCCCAATCCTCATATTGCAGCTTTGTTCGAGTTGTCATTCGTTGCTCGCTCGGATCGCACTTAAGAAAGTTCCACTGTGCTGTGGGAAAAGTAACTTTAAATGTGCCCATAAAAGTTTACTGAACTTTAAACAGAGGGTCTTTTGCATAATAAATAGGCCCTGCTTAGTATGCATAGGCTGATTGCGCATTGTACTGAGTGTGGATAAAGGGATGTCGGGCTCCCACAGACGGTAAAAGAGACAAGCAGACACGCACAACAGCACCACATTGATATACAGCCCTTATAACGTCTGGACAACAGTCTGGATGGCAAATAATTTCAACAAAATGTGTTCAACAGGTTGCAGGTACATATATGCCTTCCCACTGCATAGAGAACACAATCTAAGTGGTTTTTTTTAGCTTGTGCATGAGAAATAATGGGAACTGCTAAAAATTTTTACCAAATCATTATCATCATCACAAACCAATTTGTAGCTCATTCCTGTATATAGTTTAACATGAATAATGCTCAGGGGCGTTTGTAGTAATTGTGGTTTCTGGCTTGATGCACATGGCACACGCTGCGTGCGATGTCCAAAGAGACCTAATTCATTTGTGGTTTAATTGGACTATTTATGCACTGCCAAGTTGATACCTCTAATTGGGAATATATTTCATCTATAATAATTTTAATTGATATTGCAAGTCCCAGCTTGCCCAGGTGTTCCCATAAAGAAGCACATCCATTTAAATGGTATTCGTAGTATTTTCATTTGGGTTAAATCGATATTTGGAGAAAAACTCTGAATTTTATGAGAAATGTAAATACATTACCAGTTAAAATATGAACTATTTATGAAGAGTTTTTGGTAAAAATGTCATTTATTTTAATTTATGAAATAATTCTTGTCAATTACAAACTATCCCATTATTCAATACTTGTTCAACTGTTTTACATTAACATATTTATACTAGCTTTTTTGCCCGGCCAAGGACGGGTGTATATTGCAGTAAATCTGAAATATTCAATAGAAAAATTGTTCAGCTCATGATTATTAATGAGGGGGGGGTTGCCCCATGTGGAGTGACGTCACCCGCTAATGGTTATTGGGGAGGGGTGCGGCAAGTGGAGTGACGTCACCCGCTCATGGTTATTGGGGAGGGATGCGGCAAGTGGAGTGACGTCACCCGCTCATGGTTATTAATGAGGGGAGGGGTGCGGCATGTGGAGTGCGCGACCTTCTTGTGCGTTAGTGTAAATTTCCACGCGGGCATGAATATTAATGAAGGGGGGGGGGGGGACTTCTTTTGCAGTGACGTCACGTGCGGATGTAGCACTGTGCTGCGTAGATTTATTTTTTACCGTCACTTTCTGTAAAGAAACGATTTTGCATAATACATTATTTAACTCAGCTCGACCTTCCTCTGCATTCGTGTCAAAATCCACCCACTCATGAATATTAATGAGGGGGGGTGGGCCTCGTGTGGAGTGACGTCACGCACGGGACGGACAGACATTTCTGGGTGATTATATTAAGTTATGACAAAAGCAACTTTCAAAGATACAATCAATAGAAATATAATAAATTTATTTCAGAACTATTATTGTTTCCTCTAAGCTGAAGTGTTTTTGACTAGTTTTAATGTGTAATACATTATTTCCATCCCAATGTCGTTTCCATCATAGGGTTGGCTAACCATAGCTCATCACACTGGTCAGTGCGGGTTGGTGATAGAAGAGGATCAAACATGCTTTAGATTTCACTTGCCACGAACATGAGCTGCATAGTAATGCAGGGGCGCCGTGGTGGTGAGATGTTAACAACCTCACCTTGTATGCAGGAGGTCGAAGGTTCGATCCTGACCCTGACACCTATATATTTGGAGTTTGTATGTTCTCCCCGTGGTCGCATTGATTTTTCTTCAGGTCCTCCAGTTTTTACCTTATTTAGAAACGTGCGTTTCGAGTATATGGCTGCTATACATTTCCACATAAGTCACTTTGTGGCCAGGTCGTTTCTGAAAAAGAGCTCAGTGGGCATTAGTTTAGCTTTAACCACTGTTTTATGTAAAGTGAATCAATAAACATCCAATGGGTGGTGGATATTCACAATTCTGGGTGATAAGGTTGCACCTGTGTCATAGCCAGAAAAAATGACATTGCGATTTCATATAATAATTGACACTTGTAAAGCACCTTTCACCCGGAGATCACAAGGCCGCTGGATTAAACACATATAAATCCAACTCCACAAGATAAAAAGTACTTTAAAATAAATGTGTCTTAGGGCATGATTTCAATAAAGTGAGTGAGTCAGCAGAGCGAACCTCCAGTTGACGTGAAAATCTGCATTCGTAATCCAAATACGGAGAGTTATAATAAACACAAGAATGTTATACCGTGTGCGTATTTTAGGAATCGAACGCAATGTTCGATCGAGAACCTATCAATCCTGGTGATCATGAGATGCCATTACGCCATTTCATGTAAACGGTTTTGCACTTAATCTGGCCCTCCTTTCTCTGCTGGTTTACATTTCAGAAATATCTGGCAGAGTGAGCCGATAACTTAAGCGTATTGCTTAAAAAGTACAAGCAAAGGTTGTGGTAAGATAAACCGCTGAAGGACATCACCTTTGAGGTCACTTCTAGATCATTTTTCTGATGTGACCTATGGCTGCTGTCAGAGAGTTCCAAAAACGTCTATACATCCCATCTCTATTTTATCTGATGGCGCACTTGAGACGCATGTAATTTGTAAAAAAATAAGCCACGTGTACCTATATATAGCAATATAGGGAAACATCTTGAGAGGTTTTGAATAGAATAAGTGTTGTACGTGGAAACAGAAGAGACGGTTATAATAGGGGTTTTCCCCTTTTTTTCTGGCAACAAAACTGAAACCTTTTTACAAGGATTCATGTCTGCATTAACCACAATACCTGCAGTCAAAATGCAAACATAAAACATACTAGGATAATAATAGACGCCAAAAGGCGTCATGTGGTCGAGCACCAATTGGGTCGAGGCTCAAAAGAAAGCCGTCCCTTGGTGTGGACCAATCAGTTTCAAGGACAATGCATATATTATCCTAGTATGTTTTTGGTTTGCATTTTGACTGCAGGTATTGTGGTTAATGCAGACATTAATCCTTGTAAAAAGGTTTCAGTTTTGTTGCCAGAAAAAAGGGGAAAAACCCTATTATTACATTTTGGTACTGGCAAAGGAGGTCTAATGAAGAAGAGACGGTTGTTTGTGTGGGACACGCGTGTTGGATGAAGCAGTGCAAGTTACCGCGGCAAGCATTGGAGTGGCATCCAGGGTCTGTAAAGGCAAATCCTTGGTGGCTGAGTGTTGACTGCTCAACAGCCGAGGGACATCGCAAAAGCAAGGGAAGTGATGGTGATGAGTAGCGACAACAATTGTATTGACTGCGATGACGTCTTGATCCTGGTGGAAAATAAAAAAAACGTAAAAAAGCCAATTGTTAAATTTATAACACGTACAAAACTGCATTTCTGGAGGCATTTGTTTTGCTCTGTGTTGAAATATTCATACAGAGTTGTGAGACTCAGCACGTTTGTCATCCTTCCACTAAATACCACTTCTCAAAAGCAATTCCTACACGGCTGCATCACTGCATGAGGGCAGCAATGTGTGCAGGAGGTGGACTCATGACTGCTTAACTTGTCTACTGGGGTTCACCCTGCTCCTCGTTCACTGTGGCACATCTACACGCTCGTGTGTCCGTGCATTAGTGGCTGACGACTCAGTTAATGGCTATGAATTACTGTACACTCTCATTTCCAAGAAGCTATTTTTCGAGCAATACATGCAACAGCTAAGTGCACTTAAATTGCTACTTGAAAGCACGAAGGTTCAGAGGATAGAATAGTATTTTGTAAAGTACAGTAATGTTCATTATTATGGATTGTTGCATATATGCACTGTGGAATGATAATGTAATTTCTTTATGGACATGGGCTTCTGTATTTATTAAAAAATCTGAAGTGTAGTAAAAATGCAATTCGTTGCCATTATTTTTTGTTATTCTGAATGCATTTTGGCAGCCTTCACCACACATTCACCTGTGCCGAGCGTTGACAATTTTGGCAAAAAAAGAATCAAAACATAACGCATGGGTCCAACGGTGAAAACAATTTACAGGACCAACGTGTCCAAACATGCAAGTGGACCAGTCTTTTCTATTACATTTGAGTGCAGTAGCAGCGAAAGTGCAAGGAACCCTCGTTGTACTCTTACTGACAGTACATGCAATATGCACTTACTGAAACAAAGTCAGACTCCATCCTGGATAAAGTAATTTTTGGGTGTGCATCATTGTTGTCAATTGTGATTACTTACCTTTGATCACCGAGGGGCTCATTATTTCACTCTAAAGAAATAAAACGTGATGTTGAGTGTTTTGGTGCACCAAGTATGGCCAAAGGGAATTCCAAACTCAAATGTGGCCATGCAGCCTTAATGCAAATTAGTAGGCAGAATGTGAATATGCAAATGAGAATTATAAGGGCCTCTGATTTTCATTCCCCCAATTTTCAATCCAAATTCAGCGTGATTTTGAGTAGCTCTATTTTGTCTCTTCGTGCCACGTGATGAATATAAATGCATCACAGGACGTGTTGTCCACCCCGCCTTGTTTGGAGTTCATTGCTTTGAGATGGGGGAAAAATGCGCATGGGATGGATAACGCCAGCATGCTTTCATGCAACATCGTTGGACCCGTTGGTATAAGGAAGTCTCTTGTAGTGTGCAGCTAAGGTGTGGCGCATCACAATTGTGCACAACTATTGCAAAAACAAAAGTGCCATCGCTGGAGGAAAGTTCCTATTCAGGCAGCGCTGTCCCTACTTTGTTGGAAAGAGCCAACGGCGAATGAGGTGAAGTGCCCACACCCCACCAGTTAGTTACTTGACTTGTTGCAGTGCTAATGCACTCACTACCTTCTCCAGTGGTGAATGGGCAACAGCTATGATGGAGACAAGTTTTCAATGTTTTTTATCGATAATTAAACATACCAGCTTTGGCTTTCAATGCCGATTCATTAAGATCAAAGGAACTGCAACATTATAAGTGTAGATTTAAAGCTTTCGTGACTGCAGGAATTCAAATTCTTTGGGTTTTTCGGTAAAGTCACGTAGATAGAAAAATAATAATAAAAAATATATTTTTCACTGCCTCAGCAGTCCGCCTGCTGTATTTTTTCACCTGCAGACGATTGCTTGTATTGCGATCTAAACGTCATGATTTTTATTATTATTTGTAATTATTTTAAATTATATTCTTGGTTCTTTCGGTAAAGTCACGTAGAAGGGAAACAATAAAATAATAAAAATATAAAACAATAAAATTCTCACGGTTTCGACTGCAACACAAACAATCATCATCAGGAGTGAAAACCACAGCAAGAAAATTTGAAAAAAGTGGCGTTTTTTTTTTACGTTAGCACCACGGAGAGCGATTTGGCAGTTATTCAGATGGACGAGTCCATCTATGTTTGGAAAATAGGGGGGAGACGAAAATAATGGATGCGGTCTGAAATTGTCTCTGTGTTTGTATATGTGGATAGCCTAATGAACGAATCTCTCACGGTAGCCAGATGGCTTGCAGAGAACCTCTGTCTTGGAGAAGTCAATGTCATGTGAGCCTACTGAATTATAAGTGATCTGTCACGGCCGAGGTGTTGGTCCTACCGTGTTTTAGGTCTGCTTTGTGTTCACGGATGCGGTCCGAGACATGTCGTTTGGTTTCTCCAATGTAACTACTACCACAGAGGCAACTTAGTTTGTAGACACCAGGGTACTGTATGTCCGGAATCACATCTTTTACAGACGGAACCAGATCACGGATTTTATGTAATGTCTTCTTGGTTCTTTCTGTAAAGTCACATAGAATGGAAATAAAATAAACATAATAAAATATGATATCATAAAATATGGTTTATTTTATTATTTTATTTCCATTCTACGTGACTTTACCAAAAGAACCAAGAAGATGAATCCCTGCAGTCACGAAAGCTTTAAAGCGAAATTTATGTAATGTGTTGAATCGGACCTGGATCTTGTGTTTATTCAAGATTTTAGAGA